TTAAATAAATAAATTAATAATAATAAAAATCAGGTGAGGGAAATAAAAAAAGAAAGGAAGAAAGGAAGTGGCAAGGGTGGTAGGCTGGGTGTTTCCCAAGGTGAGGCAGTACTATCAAGCTATTAATGACAGCATATCTTTGAGTGTAATAAATTCGTAAGCATTCATTGTGTTTTTATCATACCTGATATAATGTCCGGGGCTTGCATCTGTATTTAGCAGAAAAGTTAGAAAGAAATGCACTTACTCCATGGGTGTGGAACTGAAAGCCTTATGATGTGTTCTTTAAAAAGCAGGTCCCTGCTCTCCACCCTTGTAGAAAATTCTGAACATCAATGTGAAGTTCAGTAACATAGAAGTCAAACCCAGAAAGGAGAAAGTTGGCGCTGTTCAAGTTGCTTAACTACAATGAAACTGAGTACAATGATTCTAAGAATGAACATCATAACAAAAAGCTTTTTCAAATGATTGTCGCATGGTGTGATCTTCGCCTGTGCTGCATTGCAGGAGAGACCAAGGCATGGCTATGTGTGCTCGCCTTGGCCCTCGGGCTAAAAGGAGCAGGGGCCCATCCTGACGCCCTGACCCTTATGCCTCACCTTACCGCGAGATTGTTCTGTATCACAGTTAGCTCCTGCCTTCCAAATGTCAGTGGCTCTCACCGACCATGATCAGAATTACCTGAGGAATGGATTAAGACGCTTCTACCGGCCTGCCCCCTCCTGCATGCCTGGGCCTGGAGGCTCTATTTCACCTTCCAAGACAGTCTCACCTGCAGCCAAGGGGGAAACTGCTGTTGTATTCCACCTAAGATAACTCTTTGTAATCTCAACTTTCTCTTATGTATTGTTTCTGCTGATGGCAGTAAGGGCAATAGCTGAAAGCAGAGCAGGGGCTCCTAGGCCCTTTGTCTTTGTCCTGATCATGTTGATGCTGTCACTTAGTCACCTCTTGGAAGCATCTATGTGGCTGTACAGGCTCCAGAGGGCATGGAAACGAGCCGGAGACCACATCTGCCGGAAGGCGAGTGTGCGGCTGGCAATCAAGGGCAGGCGTGAGAGCCGCCAGGCCGACCCACTCCCCCGGCCGGGACTGCTGCTGTACCAATGTTTCCACTGAGAATTCAGATCAACATGCGTGAGCATCCTAAACATAAGAACACGGCAGATCCGGCACACAACACTGACCCCAAGTGGAGTCAAATCTAAACTGTCCTCGGTGTCCCTAACAGAGAAGACCCACAGGTTCTGAGAGAAGGGAAACCACAGAGATGGAACAAAGCTGCTGATTTGTCCAGGCGCCTGGCACAGGCCAGCATTTTGATTTCTTTATAATAAGCTTTGAAAGAACATATGCTGATTAATTCAGGAATATTTGCTTGCAGGGAAATGCCCTACAAGGCTGTTGCCCGCATATATTTCCAACTACCAGCATACGCAGACTAGGTTAATAATATTTAGATAGATATAATCTGAGTCTTTTTTTTTTCTGAAAAGCACATTCAAATTCTGAGAAAAGACTCGATAATCAGCCCTAACTAGAAAAAATATAATTTTGTTTTGTTCTTTTGTTTTTGGGGGGAGTTTTGCCAAAGTATTTAAAAGATAAGTTTGTAATTTGACTTCTCAAAATTTTGAAACTAGCTTCTGGCTTCAGGGTCTATGAGTAGATGTTCAAGAACAGAAAAAATTAAATGGATGAATGAATTAAGCATTGCCTTAGAATGGGGCTTGGTGGTCCTAAGACAAGCACTGCAGGCTGCGAACCCACCCAACATGCAGCTCCATCGCTTCACGTCGACCAAATGCGTGCACTGACCCAGCTGTGTGAAGCAGGAGATGGAGACAATAAAAGGAGGCCCAAACAGTAATTGATGAACTTGAAACACCATGCTGGGGGCACTTGCTGCCTCAGCATTAGCCAGGCCTCTGGCTTCAGGCTCCCCATGGGATGGGTACTCTAGTCAATGACCTCCCCAAAATCATTTTCATGAAAGTCATCTTGTATGTTATACACACACACACACACTTGACTTCTTGAATCCCAGTGAGGGGGCAGTTGATCCATAATAGATTCTTAAAAGAAGAGGAGCCCAGCAGAGATCTGAAGAGATTACTGGATAGCACATGTATAATTAAGGCCCTCAATGAGGAAAGGTTGCTGGTCCTCTTCTTACTCAAACTAGATGTTTCTTTACTCAAAAAGTAACTTATTATTAAAGGCAGGGGGAGGGGAGGTGTCATCACAAAATATATGAAACTAAACCAGACACTTACATGAGGACATATTGTCTCTTCCCTCATATTCTCAAGACCTGCTCCAAGCCAACTAAGCCTGAGTCTCTAGGGAGTTCTAGAAGGGTCTCCCATATTTTCTCAATAAAAAACATTGCCTGGGTCCTTGTTAGACTTAGGAACCCTCAGACCTCCCAGGCCCTCTTCCAGGTCTACTGAATATCTTGAAACTTCCTTACTAGTCTTGCCCTTGGAATAATTTTGCTTATCAGCATGTCTTGGTTACTATTCTGTTGTTGCTGGGACAAATACCTGACACCTAAAATTAAGAAAGGAAAGGTTTATGTAGCTCACAGTCAGTGGAGGTTTCAGTCCACACTCAACTGGTTCCAAGGCAGAGTGGCACATGGCAGAGGGCAGCAGTTCATGGCAGCAGCATGGCAGCCACAATAAGCAAGATAAGCAAAGGGAGAAGCGGCGGCTGAGGCAGCGAGGAGCCTCTCTCCCCTCCTCACACTGTAATGCAGATGCAGCTGTCCCAGGGCGGCATAGCACTCACCCCTGATCCCAGCATTGGATCATGAATCAATCACAAACTCTAGAAGCCAACCCATGACTGCACGAGGTTTTGGGGGGACAACATGACACACATCATAACACATCAATATTCCTACTTAAAATACTCTCCTCTCTTTCAACTTGGTTGCCTGTCCTAATCATTTGAAAATATTGAGTTGTGTAAGGTCTCTCACCAACCATCCTTCATCTCCCAGAAAATAAGGAATTACAAGGCAATGCATATACGTAGATATACAAAATCCATAGCTTCCATGCCTTTTTGCTGCTTATTTCGCATTGTACCTTGATTTAACCCAGCTTAAATTCACTATGATTTTATTTTCAAATCAGTATGCTCAAAGGAAAATGTATTAGATTGAGGTTTTTCATTTGGAAAAGCCATAATATTTTCATTATCATTTCAATGCCTGTTTAGTTATTAAAAATGATAATTCATGCTCATGGGTAGTGGCCCGGAATCAAGGGCAATAATAAGCAAAGAGAGTTCCTCAGGCTGCTGGGAGCCAGCTGCTAAACTCAGCTGGCCTCTCCTGGGCCTGGGGACTGTCCTACTGGTGCTGGCAGAGACCTCCTGTGCATGGTGCTGCTTGTGATGGGTTTGAAGATTAAATGTTTCTCTTCTAGTTTAACTTAAGCAGAATGGCTCACTATGGGGCTGAAGCCTCACAACTGGTCTCATTTTCAAAGAACAGATCCATGCAGGAGAAGAAGCTGGAGTAGGCACCTGTACAGAGACTGCTGCTCTCTGAACGTGTCCCCTAGAGTTCGTGGGTTGGAGCCTGGTACCCACTGAAGTGCTGTCCAGAGAGGGAGGCTTTGGGGAAGATGCTTAGGTCATAAGGACACTGCCTTCCTCAGTGGATTAATGTCATTATGAAAGGGTTCAGTGAGGGTGTCCCCCTTCCTTTTGCTTTTCATTTTTGACCTTTGGCCCTCCACAGGGGTGAACACCCTGTGGAGTCCCTCACCAGCTACAAGCATGCTGATCTTGAACTTTTCCTCCTCCAGAGCCCTGACAGCAAATGTTGGGTCTTTCTCAATTGCCAGCATGGTGTTCTACCACTGCAGTACAGATGGACTAAGACAGATTCTAATGGAAAAACACAATAACAACCAGAGCAAAAACTGAGTGGATCATCCCACCAGGGCCCCTCTGTGCATCTCCTGGGCCTCTGGCTGCTCACTCCTGGGGTTGAATTTCTTGCTGTGACTGTGCTCTCTCCACAGCCTCCTCCCCAGCCTCCTGCTCCTTTGCATCTTGGTCTCACTTAAGACCCACTCTGCCCACAACTCTGGTGAAGCTGAATCTCCCACTGTTAAAGGCCTCATGGCCTTGTCTTCTAGGTCAGACTTGTGATAGGGAGAACATGATCAGCTCAGCTCAGACCCTGACACCAAAGGAATGAATGACAGGCAAAGGTGATGTGCTAGACCAAAGCCTAGAACAGGATCCTCTCAACCCTGTGGCTGATTGCAGTTCTTTGGGGAAAATACCTAGTAGCAGCTCAATATACTCATAGCTAAATCTTGGAAATAACCCAAATTCCCATCACCTAAGGAATGGATAAAAAAGATATTGCATTTTTACCCAATGGGATATTATTTAGCTATAAAAATGATAAATTCGGTCCTGATGGATTCACAGCTGTATTCTATAAGAAATTTAGAGAAGATCTAATCCCTACACTCCTCAGACTCTTCAATGAAATTGAAAAGGAAGGAATACTCCCAAACTCATTCCTGGAAACAAGAATTATACTGGTATCAAAACCAAAGAAAGACTCAGCCAAAAAAGAGGGCAACAGGCCAATCTCCCTCATGAACACAGATGCAAAAATCCTCAATAAAGTCCTATCAAATAGAGTACAGCAAATCATAATGAAAATTATACACCATGACCAGGTAGGATCCATCCCAGAGATGCAAGGATGATTCAACATATGTAAATCTATAAACATAATACACTATATCAATAAAGCCAAAATCAAAAACCACATGATCATCTCCATTGATGCATAAAAGGCTTTTGGCAAAGTCCAACACTCATTCATGATCAAAGCCCTACAGAAAATTGGAATAGATTGTCTCTACCTCAATCTGATAAAAGCCATCTATGACAATCCAACAGCCAACATGATTCTAAATGGGGAAGAACTGAAATGTTTTACTCTCAGATCTGGTACAAGACAAGGATGACCTCTATCATCCCTTCTATTCAATATAGTTCTGGAAACATTAGCTAGAGCCATTAGATAAGAGAGAGAAATAAAAGGAATAAGAATAGGGAAAGAGGAAGTTAAACTATCATTATCTGCAGATGACATGATACTCTACTGGGAAGACCCAAAAAACTCCATCAAGAAGCTCCTAGAATTAATAAACAAATTCAGTAGCATAGCAAGTTACAAAGTCAATACCAAAAATAAATAGCATTCCTCTACACAGATAAGAAACACACTGAGAGAGAAATAATACCCTTCACAATTGTACCCTCAAAATATGAGATACCAAGGAATTAATCTAACTAAGGAAGTAAAAGACCTATACAATGAAAATTACAGTACTCTGAAAAAAGAGATAGAAGAGGATATTAGAAAATGGAAAGAGATCCCTTGCTCCTGGATAGGAAGAACCAACATTATGAAAATGGCCATAATCCCAAAATTATTGTACAGATTTAATGTAATCCCTATCAAAATACCACCAACATACCTCACAGACCTAGAGAAAACATTCCTAAAATTTATTTGGAACAAGAAAAGATGCAGGATAGCAAAGACAATGTTGGACAACAAAGCCAAAGCAGGAAGTATTACAATCCCTGACTTGCTGCTGTGATAAAGTCAGCACGGGACTGGCAAAAAAAAACATACCTAAGTATCAATGGGACGGATTAGAAGATGCAGACACAACTACAAACACACTCAGCCATCTTATCTTGACAGAGCCAAACATGTTCCTGGAAGAAAGAAGCCTCTTTAACAAATGGCGCTGGAAAAACTGACTCTCCATATGCCAAAAATTAAAACTAGACCCAGGTCTATCACCATGCACTAAACTAAACTCAAAATAGATTAAAGATTTGAACATTAAATCAGAAACACTAAATCTCCTGGAAGAGAGAGTAGGTGGAAATCTTGAAGACATGGGGATGGGCAAGCAGTTCATGAACAAAAATAAAACTGCACAGGAAATACTTCAAAGAATTAACAACTGGGATCTCCTCTTATTAAGAAGTTTTTGCG